TGCTACACTGATTTCTTGGAAGGTGAAGGACAAGTTGATTAGTTCTTGGATTGATGCACAAAATCACTGCATTATTTAAGCTCTCCATTAGGACTGGATCTGAACCCTGTGCACAGTAGGGAAAGCATCTTACCTCTACAATGGGGAAAGGAATCACAAGCACCAGTTCCAAGGACTACAACAGGGGTAGGGGTGATTGGATCTGTAGTAACAGAGCTCCAGAAGCCTGAATCCACAGTGCAAGCAGTGCAGATGGACTACAGAAGCTTGGAAAAATAATCACATATTGGTTGATTAGTCACTTTTTTCGAGTGAAGTAAATTTCACTCACTAACTTGAATTCCTTAAAATTCCTAAAAATCTAAATGTCTGACAGTATTAATGTGCAGGTTGGGACATCTTGTAGAAATACCGTTGAGCTTTTGACATTACTACATTTTAGTTTTTATACTGCATTTGTCACCACAGTAACACAAGCACCTCTGCAGTATAATGAAACTGGGTATACAACAGGGGCTAGTGCAGTGTCTGTCATTTAGATACAGACTTCCACAAGGTCTAGGAATATTTTAACTGTGGTTCTCAAACGGTCATCTTTGGAACACTTCCATGCTGTCCATGGAACTGCTTCTCGCCCCTTGTTGAAGCAACTGTTAGTGTTTACACAATGAAGGCTGATTTTAGCCTAGTCCTGGGCTCTTCAGGTTTTCAGATGCTCTACTATTGCCCCACCCACCCTCTGTCAATCACCTCTTTGCATCCTGCATGGCAACATTTGGCTTCTCTTTGGTATAAATTCAGGAGTAATCAGATTTCTGGATGAAACCAAAATCAGAGGAATCAAACATGTATGAGGACTGAAGTCTGCAGTTTGTGACTGCAATAGATCAGTGAGGGCAGCAAGCACTGAGCAGGTTCAGTACTGATAAACAATGTTGTACAAGGGTGAGGGGAAATATAAAGCAAATGTGAAAAAACAATTCAGCTCACTTTAATATGCTGGATGTATGTTCATTTGGCATTCTTAGTCCAATTCTAATATCCTTACATGCAACCAAGTGTTTTTTTTGTGGCTGTGGAATCAGGAGTTGAGAGATTGGAGGGGGAGGAAGAGAGGCACAAAAGCTAGAACTGATGCATGAAATTGAATATTCACCACCTTTTGATAAAATACTGAAGAAAGCATCTAGCCTCTAATGACAGCAAATAAGACTATAATTTTATGAATGAAGATTACTGTTTACCATGGAGAAAAAAAATATACAATAGTGACTAGTATTTCATTGTAAATGGGTGAGCTTGATACTCAAGCGCTTAAGTAATTAGTAGCAGTTTGTGTACTCTCCCATTATGCTTTACCAAGGCTAATTCATTCTGAACTGCAAGAGTATTGTCATTTCAGTCCAGGGCTAGTTTGTACCAAAATATGCAGCCATTTGGGGATATTAACAAGCATCATACATTTGGTACCCCAAATAGCGCAACACAGCTGTTCAGCAGTGTAAGACTACTGGATTAAACACAATTTTACTTTACTCCTACATAGGTGATGGATTTCAATAAACAGTGACACATTATGTATTTTCTTATTTATTTCAACACTATGATTTAAGAGAGCCTAAAATACAAGTTCTTCCCTTTGTATTTCTCAAATAGCACTGCAATCATAACTTACAAAATGTTTAAAATACAAAATGTACATGAAATTACAATACAAGGCTCTGTAAACATCTAGAACTTAATCTTTAGTCAATGTTTATTGTCCCATATTTTTAAATATAAAACTTTAATTTGAACAATTTCCAAACCTCAAGGAATGACATCCACTATGTGTATCAAAAATAGAGTTTCAAAGCTTTGTTTGCATCAGAACAAAATTGTCATTTTTCTCTTTGGTTTACAAAGGATGGCAGTTCCACTGATATAATTGTAAGATTTAATAGAGGAAGTCTGATTGCCAGGTTTGTGGTTAAATTCAGGAACTTAAGTTACTTTTTCATGGCCCACATCTAATGTGCCACATACTTCTCAATCTTTATTCTCAACATTGATCCTCCATAGAAGACAGACTACTGTTAAGGCTTTCCTTAATGTTTAAAATCTAAACATAAGTATGGAAAGCAGGGACTGAGGAAGGGCAAGAAAGTGGATGCCAACAAATTATCAAGTCACAAGGTATTGTTGTAAAATTAAATTTGCATAGTCCAATGAAGTTTGTGTGCTTTTAACAGTCTTTACAGTACCACACAAGCCAAAATAAAATTAAGACCCTTGTACTGAAGCTTTTACAAGGCAAATACAAAAACTGTTTTAGTATCCAAAAGCTATATTTATTTAAATAGGAAAGCATTTCTAGGTCTACAGGCATCAAGGTATTTAAAGGCATCAGAAGATTTAGTGCATAGCAACTCTGGATTGTATGGGCTCGCATATTTTAGGTACAGTATGAATTCCAGCTACTCATTCAAAGGACTTGCAAGGAGAAGAGGCTGTACCAGTCGTTAGGAGCACAAAACCCACACAAGTATGAAAAGCTCAAAATTAGAGTCCTCCCACACACATTGATTAATTCAACAGACCCGGTACATGAAATGAAAACTGGAACACACCTTGCACCAGCACACAACCTAAAGACAGTGACACAGCTTACAGTGATTTAAAGAGTGTTATAAAAACGTAACTAGCTGTATTTCTGAACACTTCAGTGTTTTAGCATGTTTACAGTTAATGTGAGTAGGGATAGTAACTAAAGAAGCACCTGAGGGACAATTTTCAAATGATAGAACTGCCAAAATAACTATTTTGAGAGACACTTACACTAATGTACAGTACATTAACTGAAAGGATGCTTAGCTTCCCAGAATACATAGTTTGTCAGAAATGAATCTATCTGTATAGTGGCCTTACCATAAACTGATTTGAAAAATAATACCTAAAATTTACCACCATGGTAGTCCCAGATGTTTTTTAAAATGCATGTTTGCTTAGAAAGAAGTTCCATTTCCACCAACTTTTCAAATGTATGTCTTTTTCTAAAGCTCCATGATCCAACAAATACAAAGATATAGTTTATATCCTTTAACAGTATTGCTAGAACATTACATCTAAACATGTAGCGCACATTGGTATTTCATATGCAAGAGGTTCTATGTAAACGTCCCCCTGCTACTCTGCCAATACATGTGCCACCACAACACCGATATTTACTATAGTGGGTTTTTATTCCTAATGACCTCAATAATGGAGTCCATTTAAGACTTTGTGTTACTGTAACTTAAGAACATATATAGACAAAACAGCTTCATGTCTCCAAAACAAGGGCATGCCCTGTACATGTATTGATTGCAATGAAAATACCCTCAAATATCTGAATAAATTCAATGTTATCATCCCCTTATAATCGAAGTTGAATGTATTTGCTTTTCATTGTAACCAGAATTAATAATGGTTATTTCAACAGAAGAACAGAAATCTGGACTAAAAACAATTTCAAGTATGAAAGTGTACTTCTGATCTTATTTTGCTATATATGAATCTCTCTCATTTTTTTGGATACCCTGTATGTTCCACATCAGACAGGTCTGTAAACTACAGCCTCTTGGGAAATACTTAACATGGCCTAAATAAGCAGTTTCAGATCCTCTGCGAGGTTTTTAATCAGAGGCCTGAGGTTTTAAAAGCCATGTTGTGTAAACATTACTATCTGATGAAGTGGGTAAGAAAATGCATCATTTCATACAAATTTTAAGGGATTAATACCACAGTCATTGTCTCATACACTATTTTCCTCTGACATAAATTCTGCTTTATAAATTTACCATTAACTATGGGCAAATTACTAGGGCAACCATATGTCCGGATTTCCCCGGACATGTCCGGCTTTTCGGTCTATAAATAGCCATCCAGGGGGGATTTTTAAAAATCTAAAAATGTCCAGGGTTTCCCCCCGGTCAGCTATTTATAGACAGAAAAGCAACGGCCAAGCGCCGCTGGACACCCAAAACCCCTTCCCGGCTCCCCCCATCCCCTGCAGCCTTACCACACTGTCCGGCCCCACAGCTGTCTTCCCCCCTCCTCCACTCCCCTGAACGCTCTGCCCACCTGCTCCTCCCCCTCCCCTGCTTCCTGCGACTCAAATCTTCGCGGGAAGTCTGAAAAGAAGCAGGGGCAGGTGGGAGGCAGCAGCAGGTAAGCTGGGGCGGGCAGGCAGCGCGAGGAGGAGAGCTCCGGGGAGGCGCGGCCCTGGCCGAGCAGCGCCCAGCAGCTCCAGGGCGGCGGCCCCAGTTCCGGCCGAGCACCCCAGCCCGGTCCACGGCCCCACGCAGCGCCAGCCCTGGTTCTGGCTGAGCGCGCCGGCCCA